ATGACTTCTAACAATGCATAAGCCTCCTTTCCACCTGCCAAGTGTTTTCTGGACACCTCTAAAGAGAGGTCTCATCTGTGCCTAGAAAGCAGTCTGTCACCGGCAGTCAGTGTGATACACCCACCCTGTTTTCCCCAGCTTACATTTAACCATATCAAGGGAGTTGCCTCTAATTCTCCCTCAGTTTCTGGTCTTCAGGGCTTCAGGACTGTTAGGAGACCCGATGCCCCCGCCCCCCCACCCCCCCGCAGGAAGTAGGTCGATTTTGCGTCACTCAGTCACCAGACCCTGGAATGATTCTTCCTGGGCATAAAGGTCCATAAAGTCCCTTTTGAATAATTTTATCATCTTTTACCTGGAGAAAATTTTTGACACTACAAGAATAAGTGAGAAAAAAAATCAAGGGAAAGCATTAACTTTTCTAATAAAGTTCAATATTAAGTTTAAGGAATATATTTTATCTTGAAATAATTTATTCAACACAGTCGGATATTAAAATAACCTTCTTGATGAAATATTAGATAGTAAGAGAAGAGAAACTGCTCTTTTAAGGATTCTTTTTGGCAAAAGAAAAAATATAAGCTCATACGTAGTCCTATATTGTTTAAATTGAAATTTTACTGTCAAAACTCTGGCCTTCACAAGCAGAGTCCCTCAGTATTCTTTGTCTAATCATTTTTTCTCACAAGCTCCCTGAGTATTTACAAAGATCCACTACTCTATTAAAAGCATACCATGCCACATGTATATTTTAAGTACTACGTTATGCAAGTGTGAACATGGTATTTTAAATATTATATATATGTGAATATATATATATATATATATATATATATATATAAACGTGAAGCACTTTATAGTAAATGTCAGCTAGTTAGGACATTCAAAAGTACCTTCCTTACTACTAACTTTTTGTTGGAGTCGTCAGTGAAAAGTGGCCTATATTAGCATTGAAAAAAAGAAAAGACAGCCTAACTAAAAAATAACTTATGAGATGCTAAGGATTGTGCTCTTCAGTTTACAAACATTAACTCATTTAACTCTCTGTACCCCAAATCACTGTCGTTCTACAGGTGAGTGATTCTGAGCATCAGTAACCTGAGTATGTGTAGGCAGTCTCATGTAATGTTAAGAGTCTTTCTGGGTCCAGAGATCATGGGTTCTGATCTCTTACTGCTGGTCACTGTAAGATCTTTGTTAATACTTAAAGTTTTACACCTCCACTTCCTCGTATGATTTCAGTTTGTATTTCCTTAATGGCTAATGACATTGAGCATCTTTTCATGTACTTACTGGTTATTTATATATTTTCTCTGGAGAAATATCTATTCAGATCTTTTACCTATTTTTAATTGGGTTGTCTTTTTACTGCTGAACTGTAAATGTTCTTTATATATCTAGTTGTAAGTCTCTTTTTAAAAAATATTTTATTTATTTATTCATGAGAGACACACAGAGAGAGGCAGGGGCATAGGTAGAGGGAGAAGCAAGCTCCCTGCAGGGAGACCGATGTGGGACTCGATCCCAGGACCCCAGGAACATGCCCTGAGCCAAAGGTAGATGCTCAACTGCTGAGCCACCCAGATGCCCCTTGTTATAAGTCTCTTGTTAGATATATGATTTACAAATATTTTCTTCCATTCTGACCATGGTTTTTTCACTTTCCTGATGGCATAATTTGTAGCACAAACATTTTTAATTTTGGTGAAGACAAATCTATTTTTTCATTTGTTGTTTGTGATTTACCTCACCCAAGGTTACCAGGGTTTACTCTGATGTTTTATTCTGAAAGTCTTTTCTTTAAGCTCCTGAATTGAGGCCTATGATCCATTTTAAATTAACTTTTGTGCATGGTTTAGAGAAGAGAACACACTGCCTTCTTCTGCATTTGTTTGCATATATCATATAAATTACATAATTTGTCAGCATACAGTTGTTCACAGTATTCCTTTATAATCTTTTCTCTCAGGTTGATAATGATGGCCCCTCTTTCACCCTCGACATTGGAATGAATCCTCTCTTTTCTTTCTTGGTCAGGAGCCTCTGAGACTCTTTTCCCTGATGTCCCTGTTAAGCTTCTGGCTAGTTTGCCTCTATGAATATCACACTTGGTTCTGAGGCTGTTCTAATTGTTAGTGGATTCCTGTTATTTTTAAAAACACCTGGGCATAACCCATTCCACAGTCGGATCCAATTACAGTCCAGCCTCTTTGCACGGGTCATCTTTGAGGTCAGTCTCTGAGGCTTTTTCCACCCCAGGAGGGCTCCATTCTTTTTCCTGATTTTCTCTGTTAAATTTCTAGCTGGTCTACCATGCATTTAGCTTTTTGCTATCATGGAGCTACCATCTTCCTCTTAATTGCTTATTCTCAATATCTCCAGTGTTTCTGACAGCACCGTTAGGGGTGAACTTCCCCACACTCTCTTCCAGAGAAAATCAGCCTTCCTAGGAAGAGCTATGGGACTATTGTCTTTCCCACTGCACAGAACCTCTGCCCCACTGCCCTGGAGCTGGAGGTGGGCAGCAGCCTTTCTCTTTACAGTGACACTTCTGCTTTATTATTGGGGTCTGTATCCCTTGGTATTCTCAGTTTTCCTCTCCCAATGTGGAACCCCCACCTTGAGTGAGCTAGAGTGGGGAACAGTAGTAGTAGCCCAATATTCTTAACCCCTCTATACCTAGGCTAGAGCTTCTACCCCACAGTAGTGTCTGGGTAGGTGGAAAGCCCCACACCTCTCAGCCACATCATATTGCCTGGAGTAATGCTTCTGGCACATGGCTTGGGAGACTGGGGCTGAAAATGGTGGATGCCTGCCCCTCCCAGAGAGAAGCCAATATCCCAGACTGGGAACTGGAGGAGAGAAGCTGCACTCATCCAGAGTGACACTTCCACAACATTGAGCTGGGAGCTGGAGGAGTGGGTTGTGGCCCAGATTATTGCTCTTCTTACCAAGATTTAGTAGATTTTCATGAATAAATATTTCTTCATTTGCTGTATGCCCTTGGGACAGTTCTCAGAGACTTTAAATGATTTTTTAAAAATATTTTCACCACTTACAATTGTTTCATGGAGAGGGTGAGCAGAGACCCTCATTTAATTCTAATACTTTTCTTATTTGTATGTACATTTACCTTTCCTTTTAAAATGTAAAGTGTTAATTTTATGCAAGCAATATACTGTGTATTCAGAAATGCACATAATTTACAAATAAATATACATGTACTGGGTGGCTCAAAAATATTTTTTACTAATAAGGTACTCAGTCAAACTGAGCCTTCACACCCTGTACACACTCTTGGGTTTTTTCCCCTATACCACTTTGGATATATTTGGCTTTACTGCCAGGAGAATGATGGCAAGTGCTCTGGATCTTCATTGTTCTCACCATCCACAGCATCAAATTGTTGCCAGTTAGTTCTTTCTAAGCCAAGAAAAAAGAAGCCCTGACTCACATCACATTAGTTTTCGCAATTAAAATGTATTAATAACTTCTGAATTCTTTGACACAAATATATAAACTGAGACTTTTTCTAGATAGTAGGGATATTTTTAGAGCAACGGCTCACAGTTCTTTTCATTATGTTGTCTGTGAAAGAGTCATGAAATGATTAGTATATCCTTAACAGTATATCTCAACCTATGTCAATCTTACCTTCCTTGTGAGAATAAAGTTTTTGAAACAAATGGTTGTCACTTTCACAATCCATGAGGTAGAGAATAATTAATGAAGATTTTCATTGCACTTCTCTGGGAAATTAACTTACCCGCTTTAGATTCCTACCTTTGAAAAAGCGTGCTTTAATGTAATCTAAGCATTGCAAACGTCTCGGCCTTACAATTACCCATTTCGTTACATGAAAAACGTGTAAATTCTCCAACATCTTCATGTTTCCATTTGGTTCCAAAAATGGTAGCATATCTCCACCTAAGAAATCATAAAATATACCAAAAATGATCCTTTCGGGAATGAGATCATCTACCTCCTAGGACATTCACCAAACATGGTCAAATACCCAAACCACTCTCCAGACACAAAACTGCTAAAACCAAGTCACTGTCCTATGTAGACCAAGGGGTCCGAGTGTGGATGTCACACGCATGGATGTCAACCAGGAAATAAATGATTGAAATACAAGCACTAATTAGGATAACTATATTCCATATAAACACAGTTGAGCGAACCTCTGCAGGCCTCGAGAAAAACAGAGTAAAAGGGCCTTCTTAAAAAATGATGGGTCAGCACTCCCTACTTGGGAGCCTGGTTGTAAGAGCTAATAACGTGCGGCAATATTCCTGCCACCGCGGAGAGTTTCTGCAAATCCCGAGGGATGCCTCCTGGCGGGGAGACCTGGCCCTTGCTTTCCAAGAGTGCCGAGGAGTGACCCGCGCAGCTTCCGAAGCCCAAGGGGCTCTTGGCGAGACCCGGGAGGCTCCCGGACGGGGCCGTTCCCCGCGCAGCGACGCCCGAAGACGCCGTAGGCTCGGAAGGCGCTGCCTGCTGTAACGCGAGGGGCCAGGAGCCCGGGGCGAGGACGAGATGCTCCCCGAGCTCCCAGCGCAGGATGCGCTCGCTCGGCGGGCGCGGCGGGACCCGCGGGGGCAGCGGGGAGGCGCCCCCGCGGGCGGCCGAAGAGGAGCGGGCTGCGGGCCGGTGGCCACGGGGGCCCGGCTCGGCGCCCCGGCTCGGCGCCCCACGCGCGTGCGCGACCGCGGGGGGCGAGCGGAGGGCTGCGAGGCCGGGTGCGCGCGGGAGGAGCGCGCGGACGGGGGTGCTGCACGCGCCCCGGCGCAGGACGGAAGGGGCAGGGGTGGGGCTGGAGGCACGAGGGGGTCATGTGGAGGCGCGGGCGGCCGTGGGGCTGGAGGGGGGGGAGCCGGGGCGTGCGGCCCCGGGGCGCCCCGGGCTGGTGCGGGGGGCGGGGCCGTAGCGGGGCGGGGGCGGGGCCCTCCCCCCGGGAGTCTGGCCTCCGCCTCCGCCTCCGCCTCCGCCTCCGCGCGCTCCCCCGGCGGCGGGGCCCGAGCCCGGGCGGGGATGTGGGCACCCGCGGCCCGGGGGAGCCGCACCCCCGCCCAGACGCAGAGTGGTGGCTGCGGTCGCCGAGGAAGGAGGACGGAGCCCAGGGCGCGCGGTCCGGAGAGAAGACAGTGGTCTCCTGCGGCCGGGAATGAAGGGAAATCCTGTGGCCGTCTGCTCGCCGGGACCCCGAGAAGTGGAGCAGGTAGAGCGCACGGTCGCGGCCAGCACCGCCTCCCCTCGGTTCCCCAGCTCCCCCTTCCTTCTCTCGCAGCCCTACACGAACGCCTCGGTTGTTGGGGCCCCCGGTCTCGCCCTGCAGCTTCCCCGAGACCCCACACCTACCTTCCCACCTGCGTCCTCTCCGCCCCGCGGAGCGCCCCGTTCCCCGCCCGGCCGCGGGGCCCGGGACGAGGGCGCGAGGGTGCGAGGGCGCGAGGGCGCGAGGGTGCGAGGGTGCGGTGCGGTGCGGTCCTAGCGCTCGGCCTCCCTCTCCCGGAAAAACTTTGCTAAGTGATGTGCGCTCAGACACGCTTGGGAACTCGGTTGGGCGGGGGCCCGGGCGGAGGCAGGGGGTGAAGCAGACGGGGCGGGCGGGCGCGGGCGGAGGTGCAGACCAGGGGAAGGAGATCAGAACGAAGTTGTTTTCTGCAAATTGATTTTGCCAAAACATTGCCCCGGATTGCTGACTAGTCTGTTGACGCTGACGAAGCTGAACGGCTGCACCAAGTGCGGAGTTGCACAGGGTTTTACTTGGGCATTTTAGGGGGGAAGCAGAGATCCTTAAAATCACAGGTGGCTCACCCAGTCTTCAGTGGGATTATAACTTGATGAGCAACCCCCCCCCCATACCCACTACCTCTCTTAAGCTCCCCTGGTTGGTATTTATGTATTTGCATGTATTTGGTAAAACCAGAGTACGGCAGTTGAGGCAGTTGATAACTTTTTAAATCACTACTACTACTACTACTACTACTACTACTACTAAATCATCACTATCTGATGTTTACAAATAATGGTACAGTCCCATACAATTCTTCTGTGAAATAACCACTCATTAAGTAATACCAAGTGCTGTAAAAGTAGATTTTTAGTGATGACACTCTACATATGTATGGTATTTTTACGTGAATATTGCTGCGCGTTCCTTAAAACAGGTAAATCTGTAAAGCCATGGAATTGTGCTTATTTTACTTATAAAGCAGATCTTTTTATATGCTCTTTTTGTGCTCTTTTTTTTCTTTAATATGAGCAGGCTATTTAAAAAACCCTGAAAAACAGATTTTACAATACTGTTCAAAAATATATATGTAAGTTGATCTCTCGGGCTTTGGTGCTGGAATATTTTACCAGAAGGTTCAGTGTCTCTGTATGAGATCTTACTCTCTAGGAAAAGTGCTTCCGAAGTGATTAGCAAACTGACACCACTCCACATGTGTGAAAATATTATATAGTTAACTTTCAAAGTTATTGAACTATGTTTCCAAATACCTTGCTTTGCCTAAGTCCTTATGTTCTTATGATGTTTAATGTTTGTTATTACTGAATCATTAAACACAGTATTTAGTGGATATTACACCTAAATCATTAATGCATGTAGTACACCTCCACTGTGGGCTTACAAGTATAGAAAAGTTGTCCTGTATAACATTACAGTCTATAAGATATTTCTTTAATCTTGGAAAAAATATAGTGATGAACTATCCATTTAATGAATTAGACATACATAAGTAGACTATAAATTAAAACAGGAAACTTTTGACATTTAACAAATACTTTGTTTGCTTTTTAAAACTTAAAACACAAAAATAAATAAATAAATAAATAAATAAATCTTAAAACACGGCTCTCAGAGTTAATAAGGATAATAATACTCATTAATTGTGGCTGGAGGATATTTCAAATAGATTATATTTGAAGTATAAATATATTTCTGTAAATATATATGTATAGAATTACATCTTAATTTTATTAAAGATTTTTATTTATTTATTCATGAGAGAGAGAGTCAGAGACACAGGCAGAGGGAGAAGCAGGCTCCATGCAGGGAGCCTGATGTGGGACTCGATCCCGGGACTCCAGGATCAGGCCCTGGGCTGACAGCAGGCGCTAAACTGCTGAGCCATCCAGGGACCCCTAGAATTACATTTTAATCAGCATTATTTCATTATCTTAGGTATGACTTTTTAAAATTTATCATAGCCCCATTTTGATGTTTAGTTGTTAAGATTGTGTCCTTCAAGAGCTCCTAATGTCCTTTGGGTGAAATAAGTAATTATCTCTAGATGTAGTTACAGTTAAGCAAAACGGTAATGTTAATTTTATTTCTTTCTCTAGAATTGTACTGTTAGAAAGTGATTTATATGAACATGATCATCATAGTATAATAACCCAAACATTTAATTTTCTAAAGACTTAGGTGATGTTTCTTTGTTATTTTTCAAAAAAATGCACATTTCATTATGTCTTCCATAGTTGAATTTACGTGAAGTAAACACAACTGGTTATTTGTTGTGAGTGGTACAAATACAGGGTTATCTGTATAGTATCCCTTGTTTGAAGTATATTTGCATGTAAATTTCTGAACAGGACACCTAAATTAGGAAACAAAATAGCTACCTATAACAACTTTTTTTTTTTTTTTTTTTTAGCATATCATTTTGTTAGATACGAGGGAAATATTTGTGCTGGAATAGGAGATAGCAGGAAAAGGCAGTAGGTAGTAAATTAATGCTTCCTAACTATTTTAAGGTGATGGATTCCTTTGAAAACTTGGTGATAGTTCTAGATCTGCTACTTGGACTGGATTTCAAGAGGTTAACAGTTCTTAAAGCCAGTTCTGGGCTCCTGGCTGAGGTCACATAAATTAGATTCTCAGCGTGTAGGTGGGCTTGGTTGCTGCATGTACAAAACCTTGAGTGAGTCCATTATAATAAAGTGTGATTACATTAATACATTAATAATAAAACAGGGAAAACTTAATTGGAAAAATAACACGAGCCAGGTATTAATTTATAAAAATGTGCTTGTGATAGTTTGTCTAGCAGACTTTAATATTGCTTGCTAAACTCCTTTTGCAAAAATGACATAATAAGTGAACTGAATGAGAAAAGGGGAAATTTAAAAAATAGGAAACCTTAACTAAAGTCATATTGCATTAAAGACAAAGGTCTAAGTAGCAACCGGTTATAAAAAGGCTAAGGTCGTATAAAAGTTGTGTTCTTATAAAGAACATCTTTATGAGTCACTGGATTATTTACATGAAATTCTGTGGGTTGGGTTATAATTGAGGCTGTCTTACATTTCAGAGGCGTGAGTTGCAGATGCCCTCTGCAATATAAAGGACTGTGTGCATCATTTTTCCTCCAGGCTCCTGCTAGGCCTGCTGTCCTGACAAGTGGCTGCTCCTGGGAGCCATGGTTCCTCCTCTGTATCCTTCTTCCTTAAGATTCTTGACTCCATCTGTTTATTTATAATCCCCCTTAATCCAAAATGATTTGAGGTAAATACCCAACAAATTATTCTCGGGAGAATTTCCTTCTGGCACGTAGAGCATGCTGCTGTCCCTCTGACTTTTAGCACTTGCTTTCACCTGGAGAGCGCTGACTTCATCATATTGACTGAGATCCTATATCAAGCCTGGCACGTCAGGCATTCATCACATTTCATCAGTCTTCGCAAGCAGCCTGTGAGGAGGACCCCACTCAACATAAATGGAAACTAGGCCCAGAAAGGTTATCACTATCACTTGCCAAGATCTGAGTAATGACACAGACTCGACACTAAACCCACACATCCCAAGGTAGCACAGCACAGCGCCCAGGGAGATGCTGCTGTGGTCAGTCCCACATCTCATGCTTCTTGTGAGTGCCAAGTAGCTCAAGTGACTAGCCCACATTACTAGCGCTAGGACTACTTTGATTCAAGGAAAAAGAAGGCCATCACATTTAAGGTTAACATGAGTGTATGGAATGAGCACCAGTAACTCTGGTGCCCTTAAAACTCTCAGAATTCTTCTTGGGAAAGTGTGGAAGTCTTCTTGAAGGCAACTTCCATGTCTTCATTCTCCAATTACATATTTTGCTTTGATGTTTTAATAAATCAGGCAAATACAGAAGGCCGATAAAATAGAATCGTATCTTAATGAACACAGTATTCCATTAACAAGTCTTGATGCATGGAGCATAGGGATGGTTGGTGGCCAGGCCGTGGGTACTTGCTGTTTTACAAAGATTTTTATTCATACTTAGCTTAAGAAGCAGTCTTGTCACCCTTCACATGTTCACCATGTTTTTGCCTTTCTGCCTTTTTTTTCTCCCATTTCCAATATCTAGACTTTGAGATGTATAAAAGTTGATGGGGAGAACGATCAAAGTGGAATAATAGTAAGAGAATGATACTCTGGTCCCTTCTTTTGACCTGTCTCAAGCCCCAGGTAACCATCCCACAGTGTGTGTTTAAGAAATATCACACTCTGCTTAGGGTTCTACGTGATTCTTCTGGCTGAGACTCTTTCTAAAAATCTGGAAAAGTAGATGTCGCCCTCTTTTTGAAAATTGCTTCTCTCTCTCTCTCTCTCTCTCTCTCCCCTTCTTGAAATCTCACTAGGTACATTTTGGCCCTTCTCATCTTCATCTTCCATTTCTTCTCGGGCTGCTGATTCCCTCATTCCACATCATGGTAGTTTAATTGCTCTAGTGATGTGTAATTATTTTGTGTGAGTTCATCTACACTGAGAGTTATTCTTAGATAGGACTCTCCAATGTGACAGGTGTGCAAATGTCCCTAGGAGTGGTTCTGCTTGTACATGTGCTGGGGTACCAGGGGGTTTATGGGATTCAAAGCAGTTTTATGTAAATTTCATGGTGTGGGGTTATAGCAGCACATATTTGTTGTGAATTTGGGCAGACTGACACCTATAAATGGTACAGGCTTGTGGTTAGTACAAACATGACTGCTTTCTTTCTATACAGTGGCTTATTTTTCTATCCAGAGCCTTGGAGAGGGAGGGATCTCGTACTTTCTCTGCATGTGGGAGCTCTGGCCTTGCAATGGACAGTGGCCAACTCTCCCATCTTTGTTGAGCATTAAGATTCAGGTTCAGTCTCTAGGCTCATAAGTGGGTCTGATAACCTGCATATTTCTATGTGTAGCATCCTCCCCAGTTAACTCTGGCTTTCATTTCCATCCTGTTTTGTAGCCTTG